AATTAGCGAATATTTGGTTTTCTCAATTTGGTGAACAAAATTTTGCTACTTCTGTTGGTATTACTGCTAATAGCGCTGGAGTCGCTGCTGGGTATGTATTTTAATTATCTTTTTAGTAAATTAATTAACTGTTAAGGTTAGTATCATAAATACAGAAAAAAAAAATTCCCTTATACGGTTAATAACATTTTTATTTTTGCTACGTATTAACGTTAACGTTAAAAAAAATGTTAGATTTTTATTATCTCCGTGGATGATTAAAGAAAAGACGGCAAATCGCGATATACCAAATTATCTTTTATTACAATTTATTGTTTGTGTAGCGATTTATTTATTTTTGGCATATACCTTCAAGTCTTCACCGGATATGCACATAAATAGGTAATGATAACGTTGTTACGCGTACAGTTTTTACTGTTTCCTACCTTTATTATTCAATTCACTCAAAAAAAATATATCGAATATAGGAGAACGAGGTCATTATCAACAAGCGATACTAATATCAGTTACTATTTAAGTGATAAACTGTTCATGATATTAACAATATCATATGGGATTGTTACCGGTGGTGTATATGCTCTAAGCACTCTATTATCTCAAATGATATTACCCGTGTTTGAGAAATTTGACGAGGTAATTAACAAAAGAAAAATGATGAAAAAGGCACTATGTGCACATATCACTAATTCTTTATTATTATTATCATAAAACCATCAGCTACATTACTTTTCGCTAATCTTCAACTATGTATTTTAATAAAGTCAACGGTTGGATTTTTAGGGTTCTTAATAGTAGTTGCCGGGATGATTGGATCCTTAGTAATTGGAGTATATCTGGATCGCACTTTGGCTTATGAATCTTCTTGTCGGTGGTTATATGTTGGAACTATTATAACTTTAGGATTATTTAATGTCGCGTTAAAATATAAGATGGCAGAGTTGTTGTTTTTTTCAAGGTTGGTTCTTTCTTGAAATTTATCTATTTGGGCATGCTATAAATACAACGATTTACAAAAATAAATATTATGTTCATTTATTTATTAACACCAAATTTACCCATTTAATATAGCTTATTATTTGGTATATTTTCATTCGGTAAGATATATAAATATATTTTTTCTTATCAATATATCCGATTCATTATGAATGATACTTATTAATGTCTATTTCTTTTAGCAATAGCGCCAACGGTATGCCAATACGCTACAATAGTAATATCCAAAAGATTATCGACCAACGAAATCACAACTACAGGAATCTTAAATGCGTCTGCACAACTCTTTGGTATTTTATTAATTTCGTTGATGGATACGTTAGAAAACTTAAATAAAAAATTTACAATGGAGCTTTCGAATTGGGTTTTGTTTGTGAGTGTAATCGGTGGATTTGGGTTGTTGTTTTTGATTTCACCAACAGAAAATGAGAGTTATGATAGAGTTGAAGAAAACTAGAAAGTATAGATGTTATTATACTAGTAAATAGAAAATTTTGTAAAAAAATTATCATTACCAATAATAAACGTTCTTCCATAAATTTTCAAAAATTGACATGAATTAAATTAAATTGAATTAAATTGAATTAAATTGAATTAGGTCATACAAAATTAATCAATTACTTTTCATAAATCAGCCTCTCAATTTTACGAATGTTTAAAAAAAAATTTTATATTAAAAAACTCTCGAACGGTGAAATGGTCTCAGTTAGCAAATTCTAAACTTTGATCTTTAGATATGATTTTGATAGTTTCTTTTATCTGTTTCAATAATGATTCTATTTTTAATAATTTTTAATAATAATTTTAAAAGAAATTGATTGATTATTTAGATAATTATTATAAAATGGTTCAATTGATAATTTTTGCATCTTACCTGCATCTTGAACTGCTTTTATATATTCATCATTAGCCGCTTTTAATTCTTGATCTAACGATTTAAGTATTTCAATCTAAATAAATAATATTTGATCAGTTATGGTATATACTTTATAACGTAAAATATAAAATAAAAAAAAAGTAATGTTGAATATTTGAATATTGATTTAAATCATACTTGTTCCGCCTCTGAATGATTTATACCAGGTAAAGCATCAATTAATAATTCTATTTGTTTCGCTTTTTTACAGATATCTTGAACATGTTCTTGTTGTGCTTCTTTTGTAAACAAAAGTGAAAAAAAAAAAGATTTTGTTTTAAGATGATATTCATACAATGATCGACTAAATGTATTTCATGTCATGTTGTACCTTTGGATTTGC